AAAAGTAATATGTATACGAGTGGCACATAGATTTGGAAGGAACAGAGCAATGTCGTAGCAATGTTTCTTAAAAAATATAGGATTCAAAATCCTGCTTATAAATTAATAGGGATCACACGCGCTGCCGTTTACCAGAGGCTGCACTGATCTATTTACACTGAGAGATCTCGGTGTGAATTGACCTGGGATCGAAGTCTGCTAATTTTTTTGAAACGACTGGTCATTGTAATTCCAGTGAGACTCCACTGAAATTATATTGCAAATATACAACCTATAGTACCGGCACGCTATGATGGTCGTTTTGACGTTTGTCCGCTCATCAAGTTTCGTATTCATTCATAACTACGTTGAAGGAGTTTATTGATGTACGTTGTTGTCCATAAATTTAAAAAAATGAAATCCAATACGATCGTCACTTGTGGGATCGCTAGCCAGCACTACTTTTACCTCCGGCAAACTCGCGTCAAAGCTCAATGCAAAACAAAGCAGTTTCGAATTGACGATATATTAAGTAAACATTTTTGTTTTTGTTACATTAAAACTTTTTGATCAGCTACCCCTTGCAATACTAGTTACAAATCTAAAGACTTATAGATAGATGCGACTCGTATTTGATTATATTTTTTTCTATAAAGAATTGAGATAAGACCTCACTATTGTAATCTGCCAAAACGGCCATCATCATCAAAGCGTACCGGTACTGTAGTTACAATGGTAGTAGAGTCTCAAAAGAGTGTCAATCGAATGGCGCTTATAGCATTAATTGATTCAATTATTAATGTTCGATGTTGACTAAACCTACCATGGAAATTACTATGCATATCTTAATTTTTATCTCGTTTAATCATAACAGGGATGCCGCAGTCGTTATGAGGTTATGACGACATCTGCAGATGCGGAAAATATTTTATATAATTTTATTAAAAAAGAGATGAAAGATAGAAAGCGTAGAAATATTATGACATTTAGTAATGTGAAAATGACATAACTGGCGGTGTTTAGATATGACAAAGGGTCAGACATTGTGGCGCCGGTTACGTTACTTGGATCAACATTAAAAGTAGTTTCTACATTTCGACCCCTCCGACGTAAAGTATCGTATGTCGAGATTGCCAAGTTTACAGAGGAGCCTTTTCAATATTCTGAATTCACTGAAATAAGCACAACACGTGACTACAGCATTTCTTAGTTTTATTCGACAAAGCTCGCTACTCACATAGAGTATTATAAAATCCTAGATATCGGTTAGAGAATTTATAAGATGATCACTCTATTTGAGTAACGAGCTTTGCCGAATAAAACGGAGAACTTTAAAACGCTTCCCTGTAAACTTGGCAATTTCGACATACGATACTTTACGTAGGAGGGGTCGATTTATATACCTAGGACACATTATTACGGACAGACTTACGGATGATGAGGCCCTTGAGAGGCAGCGCCAAGCCATTTCAGTGAAGAGCAATATGTTGGCGCGGCGTTTTGCACGCTGCTGGTGAAAGTTATTCTGTTTCGGAAATTCTGTCAGGCGTTTTATGCGAGTCGGCTGTGGTATAATTACATTAAACGATCGATAAACACTTGCAGTACAACAACGCATTTCGGGCCATGTTACGTCTGCCATGGCGCGTCTGGCATGTTTGCCCTGAACAGGGTGGACTATTTTTACGCCCTTTTACGAAAGCGTCAATGGTTATTTGCAGAGAGACTAAATGAGTCCAGGAATAAACTTGTGCAAACTTCGTTTTTAAGATGTGACTATTATAACTTTTTTAATGTTAGCAATGTTAATCTTATTAATTGTATTTTAATTTTGTAACTTTTTGACATTTTTTATTAGTAACTTGAATTTAATTTTTATTTTATTTATAGCTTTTAAATTTTTATGATCGTGTAATGTATAATGTAATGTTATGGGATTTATGCCTAAATAAATAAAATAATTGGATTGAATTTAATTGAATTAATACTTAAAGTTTTTCAAGATGTCGTCTGGATTTACTTACGAACTTTAATGCAAAAATTCATGAATCAATGTAAACTCAATCACTTTTGATTAAAAACAAACAAGTCATTGCACTACACAATTCTCGATCCTTGATTAGCTAATTAGCACTACTCTGCACGCGCTTAGGGAGTACGGCCTGCTCCCGATGACCTTCTTGTCCTTGCAAAACAACCGTATCCGCAAAAACTTTGCATCGAATCATTCTGGATGTCGGGGACGGAAACAAATATGTCAAAATATGCGTCAGACATCTGTGGCACCCCTAATACACAATCAGTGGCGAATTTGCAGTCAGTACCAGCCACCCCTTTCTCAGCACTCATCATGTACTGGTAGACTACATAATGAATTTCACTGTCACTGTCTATTGATGGAAACCGCATGAGAATCCGTTCAGTAGTTTTTTAGTTTATAACGATCGGACGGACAGACCGACGCGGTAGTGATAATATGTACTGATGTAGTGATTATACATTACATTATACGTATGTAACATATCTATATTTTACACATAAAATGTACGAAAGTAATTTAGGAAGATTATTGTGATACGACGCGGTGCAGTGCGGTCCGCCATTTAGAGCCTTTAGAATATTTAGCCATTTCTTCTAATCGTCAATGAATTTTTTGTCACGATTGGCCGCCCCTAGGGCCAAATCCGCCACAATATATAATATTAGTAAACAACATTATCTACTCGACATTGAAGAGCAGAATATCAGACATTCAAAATCCTGCCTTTGCACTTTATCGACACACAAATGAGTTGATTTCAAATTAGCAGACTTGGGTATTAGTTTGTGCAACATACAGCCCGACGATTTTAGCGCCATCTAGTATCAATATTAAAAACCAATTTATCTTTGTTTTAGGCAGTGTTGCCACTAGCTGATTTATAGCTAGATCCAGCCACATTTACCAAATTGTTAGATAAAAAAACATATTTGGTAGCTACATCTTTCAGCTCTTTTAGAAGGGAAAACTAAAATACCGAACATGAAACTGGACCTTCAACATCACAAGGTTACAATGATTTGATTGATATTGATGATATCATTTTGGGTATTATTTGTAAAATTAAGAATATATTATATTTAAAACGCAAACTCGTATATTTTTAGTTTAACCACTTTTGGCAACTTTGCCCAGAATATAATTTCCTAGAATCTAGCAACTTAGGTTTAGCTTCTCCCTCCTTGTGCAAGGTGGCAACACTGGTTTTAGGATATAAATTTCGGTACGGCGACTAATAAATCCTCTTGTTTAATAAGGTCCATGCAACTACAGATGAGTCTTAATTATTTTACAATAAAGACGACATTGCTATCTTTCTCGAGCTGTTCCTCGAGCTGAGATGCGGAGACGCCGTTCTGGCAGCAGAGCTCGTCGAGGCAGACTAGTCCATTGTATGTCCGCACCAATGGCTGGCTGTGACTGTGGTCACTGCGGACGGATGAGGTTTCGTCGTTGTTCAGTGTTATTGGGTACTGGAATCAATTTTAAGTTTTTTATTTACAATTACACATAATATAACGATGCGCGATTGTGAATTATTTCGATACTCGACTCGTATCGAATGACAAATAAGTAATCTATAGGAAATGAAACAATTTTTCCGGATTTAAATCGCATATATTTGTTTTTTTTCAAACAAACCAACGTTTCGGCTTCAACTACCGTATCTAACCGTTGTCAACTTTGGGACAGGTCCCAAGGTCACGGGCCCGGGGTAAAGGGCCCCAAATGGTTCGTTTGAAAAACAAATATATGCGATTTAAATCCGGAAAAATTGTTTCATTTCCCATGTGTAACAATCGCGAAAATCTAAGAATTCGATAAATTAGTAATCTACTAATTTTCGTATTCGAATGATCTCTCCCTGATGAGCCCTCTCTGAAATATCGTCGGGGATAGTGCAATTACGCGTAACTAGCATTTGATTATGAGTTTCCATTTCGGTAATTTAATGGCCAAATAAAATCCGCGTAAATGTTGTGGCAACCAAATTAGAGTGATTTACGAGAATCTATTGTCATCAGTCCGTAGACAACATAAATTAATGCTTACTGTATTAAAAATGAATGTCATATAGCCATTGAAATAACAAAGTAATAATGTTAAATCCTATGAAATTTGGTTTGGTGCAGATAGGTACGCTTTTACCAATGTGACAATACGGTAAATACCGTAAATTACGCGGACAGTGTTATTTTGACATGGACATGCTGAATGTTTTGTGAGCTGTGAACATGAATGTTGGTGTACAAAATTAACAAAGACACATAGAACGGGCAAAACAGTGACGTTTAGTGGGTATTTTAAATTATTATTTTATTATGTTTATTATTTATAATTATTATTAAATTTGTATTAAACCGATAGTATTTTGTGAGAAATGACTCCACTAGTTTGTTATAATGTTATTAATAAAAAGATAGAACACTTAGAAAGAATTCCTTTGATCCGGCCGGATTCGAAGCGATGTCTTCTAGCAAACCATGCCAGACGCTATG